ACAACAACAACAACAACAACAACAACAACAACAACAACAACAACAACAACAACAACAACAACAACAACAACAACAACAACAACAACAACAACAACAACAACAACAACAACAACAACAACAACAACAACAACAACAACAACAACAACACAACGACAACGACAACGACAACGACAACGACAACGACAACGACAACGACAACGACAACGACAACGACAACGACAACGACAACGACAACGACAACGACAACGACAACAACAACAGGAAGAACAAGAAGAACAAGAAGAACAAGAAGAACAAGAAGAACAAGAAGAACAAGAAGAACAAGAAGAACAAGAAGAACAAGAATAACAAGAAGAACAAGAAGAACAAGAAGAACAAGAATAACAAGAATAACAAGAAGAACAAGAAGAACAACAACAACAACAACAACAACAACAACAACAACAACAACAACAACAACAACAACAACAACAACAACAACAACAACAACAACAACAACAACAACAACAACAACAACAACAACAACAACAACAACAACAACAACAACAACAACAACAACAACAACAACAACAACAACAACAACAACAACAACAACAACAACAACAACAACAACAACAACAACAACAACAACAACAACAACCAACAACAACAACAACAACAACAACAACAACAACAACAACAACAACAACAACAACAACAACAACAACAACAACAACAACAACAACAACAACAACAACAACAACAACAACAACAACAACAACAACAACAACAACAACAACAACAACAACAACAACAACAACAACAACAACAACAACAACAACAACAACAACAACAACAACAACAACAACAACAACAGCAACCACAACCACAACCACAACCACAACCACAACCACAACCACAACCACAACAACAACAACAACAATAAAAATAATAGTAATAATAATTAGTAATAATAATAATAATCATAGATAGTAATAATAGTAGAGGATTTCCTTTTGCTTCCCTTTAGAACCACACCCAACTCTGCACCCTCGAAAAAGAACATAGACACACCCCACCCATGCCGAGCCAACCTACGATTCGCTTTGAGGTAAAGGACCCGAAGAAGTCTCTGGACTTCTACACCAAGCACCTGGGTATGACTCTCCTGCAGTCGGCGGACTACGAGGTCCGCAAATTGTCGGCACGGGTCAAAACGGGGCGACTTATCAAATGGTTTCCCTTTGGACCAACCTTAAATTGCATAATTGATGGGAAGGAGGGAGTGCACTGGTTGAAGTACATGAGGGTCCCTCCATGTCTCATTGACGGCTTCCTCCGGTGACCAAGGTATGTGAGCTCACTAGAGGAACCACATCCCTATTGCTGCATCTGCTTAATTAATGCAGGGTGGGCATTATGAATTCTCCGGTGATCTTCCTTGCTTCGGCTTATTTCAGTGGGGCGCAAGGAGCAAAGGTATTCTAATTTAAGTATGCAAAAAGCACTCAGCTTCTGCGCGCAAAATGGTTGATTCCAAACATAGTGACTTGCGGGAGGTTTCTTGCGAACTACAGTTGTCCAGCGGCACCTTTTTTCGTGGGCTCAATCCCAAACAGAGATGGTACCCTGTTTCTACTTTTTGGGTCACTGGGAACTGGGAGGCTATGCAAACCAATGGGCCTTTTTTGTGAACCTCATTTTGTGACTCTTTTTGTTGGGAGTTGACCTGCATCCGTTAGGCCCACTGGTTGGAAGTGCAAGAAGTCTGTGTTCCCCAATGGTCAATCATAAGTGGTCATCATGTTTACCATGGATGGGTTGATTTGGTCTGTCATTGTGTAGGAGAATCACTCTATTCCCCCCTACAATAGAGAAGGGGGTTCCTTTGGGCGCTAGGGGGGGTGCCCCATGAAAAATGCAGGTTTCCTTTTGGGTGTTCCTCAAGAAACCACGGACAAGGGGGGGGTGCCCGGTGACCTCAAAAAGGCGACATCAACTGGGGTCGTTTCCAGGGGTTATCAAAGTCAGAAATGGGGGTTGTTGTTCCTTTACCCTACCACTTAGGAGGTGACTTTGACAATGGTAAAATGAAGGGGCCAGATCAACGTACTGCAGTCCGGGAGGACTTCTCGCTGTACTACCTGGCCACACTGCCGGAGGGCGCCACCGAGCTGCCGGCCGACCGGCCCGTGCTGGAGCTGACCCACAACCACGGCACCGAGGCGCGACCGGCGCGGCCCTTTTTTCGGTTCGTAGGCCATAGGGTGCACCACTTTGAAACCATGCTGGAAACCATAACGTGCGTGGGTATCTACACAATCATCATTCCAGGGTTCTTAGGTGGCGCAGGATTTCGTCTATCCACAGTATCTCAAAGAATCGGATTCGGTGCCCCACAAATGGCCAACTCCAATGCGACCTTTGGAACCATATGTGGGTAGAACCAACTGTTTGCTTTGGGCTCCCCTCTAAGTATCAACCAACAGGGGTTCGAGATCCATTTTGAGAAGCTCCGGAAAATGACCTTGATAATCATACGGGTAGAACCAAACGTCATTGGGTTTTGGGCGCTGCTCGGGGTCTCCCTTTTTAATCACAAACCAATGGGGGGGAGGGTAATCACTTTCAGCATGTACACCACATATCTACAAAATTGGGAGGGGAGCAGGGGAGGGGTGGATAACACATATCATGTTCACTCTCAAGCGTGTTTGTTTTAGGGTTGTGGTCGGTTTGGGTCGGTTTAGGGTTAAAGTTGGAATCAGAAATGCACCCGCATGGCGTCAAGATCCGCAACTCCAATTTACGGCTCGCGGGGCTGTAAGACAAGAACAAGGCCTCTGTTTTTTTTTGCTGAACCAGGTGAATTCCACAAAGGAATCCCAGCGCTAAAGTGGCACGTGTTCCCGAATTTCCGCCTCCCAGCCTCTTTTCCCGTTTTTTTTCTTCTTCTTTTTTTCTTCTTTTTTCTGAGGCGCAACTTAGCAGTTTGAAGTATTTGGGGACAATCCTCAAACTTTCAAGGAAGGCTAGTGCCGGACTGTGTGCACGGCCCAAATGAAATTCGGTGTGTCCAACTCTTGCACATAGTGCTCGGTTCACTCTCGTGGAGAATTGTATGCCGTGCATGGCCTGTGAATCGTGGAGTTGCTTTTAAGCAAACGGAACAAGTTCATTGCCAAAATGTCCAAATAATACCACACCGCTCAGGGTTCCACCATTTCCCATTTTGAACTGCCACAAAGCGGAATTTCATTGGACCTCACCATGAAATTGATGAACTTTTCATTTGCGCCCAGGTTCGACCCCTGATTTTCAATCACCTTGGTCCCAGAAGGTCACCAAAAGGAAGGCAGCCACCTAGTAACCAACAGGAACTCAAGCAAACCTTGGTGGTTCCCAGCCATACGGCATGCGGTTTTCTTAGACTTTGAGGCTTTTAGACTTTTATGTTTTTTCGGGATTTAGAGCATTCCACTACTAGTTGCGCTTTTGGCAAGGGACCTACGAGCCAAAACGAGGACCCCAGTTGATGTGGAACTGGCTCTTGGCCCGGCAGGAGGATGTCGAGTTCGAGCACTTCAGTGGGAATGAGGCGGAGCGCAAAGGATTCGGGCACGTGGGCTTCTTGGTGGATGATGCTCCTTGGCTGCAGAGCCGGGTGATTTCCAACACAAACCTGAAGTTTTTTGTAAGAGGTTTTGACAGTCCCGTGTCTCCGTGTCTCCGTGTCATTGCTTCTCTGTGTGTCTGTGTCTCTGTGTCTCTGTGTCTCTGTGTCTCTGTGTCTCTGTGTCTCTGTGTCTCTGTGTCTCTGTGTCTCTGTGTCTCTGTGTCTCTGTGTCTCTGTGTCTCTGTGTCTCTGTGTCTCTGTATCTCTCTCTCTCTCTCTCTCTGTGTTTTTTGGGAACCTCCTTTTCCTTTTTGGTGGTTGGTTGTTAAACGGAAACCAGCGGGAAGCCAAACATTTGAGGTTTCCCCCATTACAAGACAACCCCAGCATCAGCAATTTGCCCAGACTGGGTCAAACAGGGCCTCCAAGCAAGTCTGAAAACACACGGATTAAATTCAAAAATACATGTTTGTGTTTGAGTTGTGTAACATATTTTAACATTTGTCTGAACAAAATATCGGCTTTTCTTGATTTCTATCGTAATTTCATGGCAATGAAAGCAAATTTCTCGAACACGGCGAGGATCGGATCGAGCCGAGGTTTACGAGACCTGCAAGCAGCTGGAAGCTGCCGGCTACGCCATGCAAAAGGCGCCGGACGCCGGCTCCATGAAAGGCGGGCCCATATTGGGGGGGGAGGGCCTGCGTTTTATCTACTAAATCCAGCACCAGGTTGAAACACCCTGCCTGTGCTCAAGTGGGGCAAAAAACACCGGTTGCGAACTCGATTTTTTGAAGGGCAAGCCAAGGGGCTTTGTGGCCCCCCCCTGGCACAGGCCTTGCATTTGCCCGCGACCCGGATGGGTACTGGGTGGAGATCATCAAGCGTGGGGGCTACGATGCGGATGCCACGCCCTACTTCTTCGACTCCTGAAGGGCCCTGCAAAATCCTCCAAATTCTTTGCGTGTAGCCATCACCTTTTGGGTCGTTTTAAGAAGAGTCTTTTTTTTTGGTGAAGGGGACATAGGCACGCTTCAGTCTGTTGCGTTCTTTCAACTGGAATTGTAAAAACGCCTTCGGGCGCAGTCTCGGAAGTCGCAGGGCATAGTGCGGCTGGATATAGGACAGCGCGGCGGTTTTTTCGGCGGCGGCGAGCCGCGGAAAGAAGCAGATGCGCTGGAGATTGCCTGAAGTGGGCAGTTGGTAAGATCACGGGTCCGAGCCCAAATTGAGATTCCGTTCCTGACTGTTGGATTTGGTTCGAATCTGATCAGGAGAGTAAATCCACTGTTTAAAATGCACGGACATGCCACCAACAATTGGGGGGGTTCAACTAGTTTGGCCCCAAATCTCCGGTGCTTGATGATACGCTGGGCTCGTGTAAGTGCCGGGCTGAATCTTTCAGGATATCCTCATCGTCTTTGATGGCGCTGATCGAATCATCAAGGACTGCTGGTCTCTGTGTGGGTGGTGAGATTCACTCTTGGGCCATTGGGGTAAACCATGGCCATTGTGACTTTGGTGCCGCCCAAAATGCCGCCTCTTGAAGGTGATGGTCCCCAAAAAACTGACAAGGCGTGGGATTCGCTCTTGATGTGCCTGGCCATGAACACATTGCATGCAGGACGGTGAAGATGATGGTGCTCAGGCGCAGCCCTTTGTTGTGGTTTGATTTGTGTGAGCAGCAAACACACACACACACATATGCGAAAGAAACAAATCCAATTGGGTGTCTCAGCATAGGGAGGAACTGAAACCGGTCGGTTCCTTCCATTTCCTGTTAAGACTAAGGCTGCTCCACAGGTAGATGACACAAGTTCCAGATTCAGGTTGAATCATCCCCTTTTCTTTCCATGGGACTTGTGCCATCAACTTGCACCCGAACAGAATTTGCGCGCAGAAACGGGACTGTGACCTACACCATCGTTTCTCAAACCGGGATTCGGACCCTTTGGTAATCCGGACACCAAAAGTAAGCCGCGTGCCCATTTTTAGGAGACGGAGTGGTTGGTAAAGAAACCCTACCCATGGACCTCTCTGAGAAGAACCCTAATTTGGAGAACTCTCGATTGGAACCGCTCCGCTCAGGCGCGAACGGTGCTGGACCTGTTGCCCAAGAATCGGGTGTGCAGGCCCCAGTGTTTTTTTGGGGGCCCAGTGTTTTTGTGTTGGAGGGCGGCGGGTGTTTGGCCCTTTTGAAGGCTTTTTTTGAGGATTCGCGACCAGTTCGCAGTTATGGACGCCTTTTTTTGATGCTCATAGCTAAAGGGAGCATCGTTATGCCAAGCAGACATCTATGGTCCATAGGGCTCTTGAACACGCGGCTATTTCAAAAGAAGAAGAAATACTTGTTGGGGTGGTGTGCCTTCAAAGCAAGCCACAAAGGGAGGGCGGTTCCCTTTTTTGCGGGCCATAAATGGCTGGCTTCTTCTAAGGCTTCGACATAGATGTCCCATATGGGCAGTTTTAACGTCACCTTTGTGAATTTTGGAAAGAGCACGTTAAAGTTAAAGCGACATTCCGCTTGGTGATGTTTGAAGGGGACCTACAAGGAGCTGCGGTTCTCGGTGCAATGGCAGCTCAGAGGTGTTGAGCGTGTCTTACCGGGACACGGGTCCGCTGGGGGCCATGTGTTGATGGCAAGCCGTGGTTGAAACTTGGGGTTTGGTTCGCCACTTGCTGTGAGTGGCAAATGCCACACCGATAGAATTCCATTTTTTATATGATGTAAAATTTGTCTCTTGATGGGTTGTCCTAAAGAGAAGCAAAGATAAACCCACCAGTTTTTCATTGGGCTAGCCCCATGTGGGTATGGGTCAAAATTAAGCCATTTTTGTTTCATTTGCCAGGGTTCAATTTTGGGTACATGTTTTTGACCCACAGCCACTTGGGAAACACATCTTGTTGTTTAGGGCTGAGGGGCGCTTGGGGGAACGCTGCCGGCCGAGATTGGCATTTTTCAGCCCCACGTGGCCGCAGAGGACAGAGCAGATGGCGAGAAGGCAGATCGGGGTGCAAGGGACCCTCCCAGCCACCAATGTTTAATCACTAACAAGTGCCAATAATCTAATTATATATATATATATATATGTGTATATATATATATGCATTTGCCTTTATTGTAATATCTATATAGAATTTCTGTCTACACATATGGAACCCGCCAGAGTGTCTTTTTGCAGGACATTTCTGTCCGTGAGTCAGGTTCCATCTTAGTGGATGGGGGGGTATGTTTGCAATGGCACATCCTCCGAAAGCTGGCCGGGTGTTGCATTTGTTGCGTTTGAAAGCACCCAAACAAAGGAGGGAACCAATCTGCACATTTTTGTGGCGAGCTCGCCTGGCAACCGAGCGCATGATGTAGAGTCATGTGCTTGAAGCTCCAAATCTTACTTCAGGCAAGACAGCTATGGCATCATTTTTCCGCGCGAATCAATGGCCACTCCCAGTTGATCTTTAGCCTTTGTAGGCTTGGCCTTGTTCTTCAGATTGGTTCAGGTTGGACCAAGCGGGTGTCAAGGGGTGACTCCCAAAATGGTGGTTTCATTGTGAAAAGGGTCCCGTCAAAATTTGGAGGCATTTGCGGAACGATGCCGTGCTAATCCACGCAACTACGGAGTGCCCGGCCAACGCAAGCGGCGCGGGGCCCAATGTTTCGTCGACTCCCAGCGGCATTCACCTGGGTGGACCTGTGCTTGCCACGGCACGTGTTGTTTTTGACGGACCCGTTGTGATGGGTTTGAAGGGAAATCCGAAGAAAAACCACCATTTTAGAGGACCTTCCTGTTTTGACGCATGCCCATACAAATTGTTTTCTATGCAAGGGTGCCCACTAAAGGTTTCCCAAGTGCCTTTAGCTACCCTTGAGACCATGGCCCATGTGACCAAGATTGCCTTTCCAAAGCTTGGCTCAATTCCTGAGCAAGCATCTTTTGGAAGGGGCCAGTTGACAGTTTCTTCGGTCGGCTTCCTTTTGATGCTAAAAAGGTCGACCTCCACCCGGCGCGAGTCAGCCGTCCGAGGCTTCTGCCTGGAGTCTCGCTTTGTGGTTCAGCGCTTTGAGGCGCGATGTGATCATAGGCGTCCTTTGAGTTGGGCTAAAAATAGATGGCACTTGTTTAGATGGGGTTTGCCAGGGCCATCTATTTTTCCAAAAGGCCGCCTATGAATGTGATAGGTTCCTACCCAGTCGCCTGGAAAATGAGTCCGAAACTGGTCTGCGGGCCATTACATTTCAAACCGTTATTCTAGGGGGTGAGCCATGCCTCCTTTCAACAGGTTCCTGTGGGTGTTTGGGGTAGTTTTCTGGGAAGTGCACAAAATGGGGAAGTTTTACCTAGAGCTGTGAGTCAAGCATTGTGGCTTCATGCCATCTACATAGAGGTTATGCCAAACTTTGTGCCATGTTCGGGTGGGATTCAGCGACCCTGATCTGCACAGTTGCTGTAGTACAGGGGCGACCTTTGGCTACACACCAACCTGAAACGGAATCTCCCTGCAAATCAACATAGAATCCCATAAAAGTCAAAAGGCGTTTCCTCCAAGAACAACTCTGGTTTGGGGTCCATGTTCATATGATATAGTTATATGGATACTTATTCGCAGGAGAGTAAGCATGAGACAATACAGCGGGGGATCTCACCAAACTCCAAATATCGCCCAGCTGCTGTCAAGAGGCGAGGTCCAGCGGGGGCATGGCCAAGTTGAAGTCGGTTTCTGCCGGCGGCGGGTGGAAGCCCTGGGAAATGGCCGGCCGTGGATTGGATGCATTTGCCACTTTGGTAAGGCCGGCCATTTTTCATGGCAACTCTATGAACCCTTTCCTTCACCAAAGGCAGTTTGTCACTTCGGTACCGCTGGGGCTGGCAGGCAAAAGATCACAACCGTTCGGCCTAAAAGGTGCACCGAAGCGGCTAGGTGATGCACGTGCTGGCGAA